TTTTGGTGGTAATATTTGTGTTTCCCCTTCTTTGGGGTTTGCTGGTGTGAGGTTGTCTGTTGCCTGTCTTTTTGTGGGTACAGTTAGCTTCTTTGGGTTGCAATTTTCTTTCTAGTACTTTCTGTAAGATTGGGTTTGTGACTAGGTATTATTTACATTTGGTTTTGTCATGGAATATCTTATTTTCTTCATCAATGGTGATTGAAAGCTTTGCTGTGGGTGGTAGTCTGGGCTTGAATCCATGGTCTCTTAGTGTCTGTAGTACATCTAGTCAAGACTTCCTGGCTTTCATGGTTTCCATTGAGAAGTTGAGTGTCATTCTGATAGGTCTGTTTTTATATTTTATTTGGCCTTTTTCTCCTTTGCAGCTCTAAAATTCATTCTTCTGTATGTTTTATGTTTTGATTATTATATGACAAAGGGACTTTTTTGGTTCAATCTATTTGGTGTTCTGAAAGTTTCTTGTATCTTCATAGGCATATCCTTCTTTAGGATGGGAAAATTTTCTTCTCTGATTTTGTTGAATATATTCTTTGTTCCCTTTAGTTGGAATTCTTTCCCTTCTTCTATCTCCATTATTTTTAGGTTTGGTCTTTCCATGGTGTTTCAGATTTCTTGGATGTTTTATGTTAAGAATTTGTTGGATTTATCATTTTCCTTGATAATGAATCTGTTTCCTCTATAGTATCTTCAACATTTGAGAATTTTTTTCTTCCATCTCTTGTATTCTGTTGGTTATGCTTACATTGGAAGTTCCTGTTCATTTACACAGATTTTCCATTTCTAGAATTTCTTCAGTTTGTGTTTTCTTTATTGCCTCTATTTCAATTTTCAAGTCTTGAACTATTACCTTCACCTGTTTGATTGATTTTTTTTCTTGGTTTTCTTGAGTTTTGTTAAAAGATTTGTTAATTTCTTCAAATGTTTTTTGTTCCCCCCCATTTCTTTCAGGGAATTTTTCATCTCCTATTTAAGGGTCTCTATTATCTTCATAATGTTATAGTTAAGATCATTTTCTTCTGCTTCTTCTGGGTTAAGATGGTCAGGTCTTCTGTTGTGTGACCACTGGGTTCTGGTGTTGCCATGTTGCTTTATCGGGTATAGAATAAATTTCTACACTGGTGCCCACCCATCTCTTTCTTCAACTGGTGCCAACAGTGTCTTTGCCTCTTGGCCCAACCTTTGCAATTGCTGTCTGTGTCTTTAGGAGCTGCTCTGTCTACACTGTGCAGGGCTGTCAGTTTCTAAGGGGATTACTGAAGTCTCTCTTGGTCCACTCTTTCTGTTCGCTCTCTGCAGTTGCAGTCTGAGCTTCTGAGTTCCTCTGAGGTCATAGGGTATGGGTGAGTTTGGGGGCAGAGTGGGACTTGTAGCTTACAGTGTCAGATCTATGGTAGGTGGTGTTAGAGCAGCCTACCTGAGGGAAGCATGCATGCTGGCTGGCTAGTAAAGCCTAGACAGGATGGAAAGAGGTCCAGGGTTTTGTCCCTGTACTGAGGACCTAGACAGTGGGGTGCCCAGCTGACTGACTGATCACTCACCTCTTGGTCCACTGTAGGCAGCTGAAGCCTGTGGTTAAGAGTTCCTCTGAGGTGGCAGCAGATGGGTGAGTTTGAGGGCAGAGTGGGCCTTGTATTTACAGGATCCCATCAGTGGGGTGGTGTTGGAACAACCTACCTGCAGTAAGCTTGCCTGCTGGTTGGCTCCATGCTTTTTTTTTCCAGAAACAGGTTTTCCATATCTTACTAAGTTCAGTATTAGCGTTCTTATTTCACAGGTAGTGAACCTCAGACATAAGTTTGAACAGTCATCATGTCGTTGGCATAGTGGTTAGCAGCTATAATCCCTACAAATGTGTGACAGACTGAAGAAAGTGAATCACAGTTTTGAAGCCAGGCTTGGGTACATGGCAATAAGTCATCTTTTAAAAAATCGTACAAAGACTAAGGCACTGTAAATGCAAATTTGTGACATTTTCATATCTTTTCTTTTCCCTGGTAATATTTTTTTTTTTATCAAGGCATGCACTAGAGATCTCATCTTTTTTTTTTTTTTATATCTCCTTCTAGGAGAATTCCTGAGTTTTGCTGATGACTTACTCTCTGGCCTGGGCACCTCTTGTGTAGCAGCTGGTCGAAGCCATGGAGAGATCCCTGAAGTCAGTATCTACTCAGTGATCTTCAAGTGCCTGGAGCCAGATGGTCTTTACAAGTAAGTAGTGATGGGTTTGTGGGGAGTATGAAGCAGTGAGCATGGGTTTAAGCCTGGGAGGGATAACAGGAATAATTCTTTTCAGAGTAGCCCAATGTTTCTTGGCTTGTCTGTATGTGGCCTTGGAAGTCAAAGGTTTAGAAGTTTCTGTTTAGAATATAGACCACAGTGAGAGATGGAAGGCGAGTACTACAGGGCCCACAGAGGCCAGGTATAAAGTCTAGTATAGTATTCCTACTGATGAATAATCTGCAACCAAGAAAGGGATAGCAGTTTACTCTGGCTTAGAGAACAGTTTATTAAGTACAGATGGCATGACAATCCCTGCCTATTGCTTTCTTCTGTTTGTTTCATAGTTTTTCTAATATATGTGTGTGTAAGCATATATTAAGATAAACTGATATATATATAGCTCACATATGTATATTCTTTGATATATGTGTGTGTCTATTTTTATGCCCGTGTTTATACAAATATATATACATACATATATATACATATACATATATACATACATACTAGAGTTTTCAGGACTCATTGTATCAAAACCCCTAGAAGTCACTGTCAAGTTCATTGATAATGTCAGAGGAAACAGGAGGCTTGTTTTTTTTTTTTTTTGTTTCAAACCTAAATGAGTATTGTCATATCTGGAGGTAACCATCATAAATAACAATAAAGATTTCTAGAGATTATCTCATCATTTTCCTAATGGCAAAATCACACTTTGCCTCCTTTATTACCCTAGAAATCTGTAATTGGTGAGATGTTAACTGTTTTAACAATTATTCAAAAATTCTTTTATTTGGATTATTTATTTTTTCATTTTATTCATTTACTCAACCATTCATCTATCCTCCATATATCTTTCCTTCTGTCTCTTCTTCTACTCATCTATCCAAAAAAGGTATTCATCTGTTTATATATTCTCACATAGAGTTTTTATTTCACTCCCACATTTTCTAAGCATTTTTTATGTCTTCTTACTGCTCTCAGGTATTCTCAGATATGTAAGTGTAGCTGATACAAAAGAACCTATCCTCAGATAACTTAAAACATGACAGCAATATGAAAGGATACATAAAAATGGGTGTAGTATATTTAGTTGTATAACTTTACTTATGTTACCCTACAAATATACCGATAGACCAAACTCAAGAATATAACTGTGAGCTGAGAATTAGACATTTATCTCTAACTCTATGATCTCATAGTTATGATTCAAAGTTTGTTTTCAATCATGTGAGATCAGTGAATGCTATAAAAAACAAATTCTGCAGTGCACAGAGATACATGGACTAGTCAATCAGAGAAGTATGATGTACTCTGTGCCTTAAGGAAAAGCCATTGTTGTGATGGTGAACACAAGGACTGGCAGGATTTGAGAGCACGACTTTCCGGCCTCAGAGTCAGTATGCACTAGATGTCTGGGCTGCAGTCACTGCACCTGTGCAATGCAGCAAGCATGCAGCTAAAGCAAAACCTGTAAATCTCCTGACACTAAAAACTATGATGCTATTGAGAAAGTGAAAGTTTTAGAACGGTTCCTGATTCCTGGGTTCTGACCTATGTCCCTCTTTAAGGGCATATATTAGAGACAGCGATCTCAGTTCAAATTCATGCCTTTCTCTATATTAATTTTCATTCTCTGAGCCTCAAGTTCTTTCTCTATGAGATTGTGTGTGTCTCCTGAGACTTTCCCCTTTTCTTTCTGTCTGTGGCTTCATATATCTCCCTATTCACCTGTCTATTCATCCTCCTAGGCCCCCTGGTCTGAACCCCTAGTTAGAATTTAACAAGTATCAACTGTTACCTCTGTTGATGCCTAATTATGGCCATTATAAATTTCCTCAGTGCCTCATCTATCCTCCAATTGATGGGTCAGATGAGTAAGCAGATAAGGAACAGGTCAGAACCTTACCTGGTGGCTCTCATCATTCAGTTAGAAGGAGTAGCCCTGTCTTTGGATGGCACTGTAGCAATGTGGTGTTGGCTTAGCTAATGTCTACAAAAAGCAGTAAGATATGTTTATAAATGCCCCTAAAGCAATTGATGGTGAGAGCTGATGAATGGGCTACTATCCTTTAAATATGGTGAACATCTCCCCTCACTTTTTCTTTCTGCAATGGCCTGGTACCATCTCTGCTTCCCAGTTCTTGGGGTAGGGTCTCTTTCCTTCCTCTGCTTTGGAAATGGGTTTGTAATGAGTTCATCTTCCCTATCTTTGGACACCACTTTGTTTTATTTATTTTCTTTTTAAATAGATTTTGATAATGGCCCTGGGAACTGAGCTGCTCTGACAGGGAGCCAAGGTGTTGCTTGGAACGGTCTCCCATCCCACTGGCGGCTCTCCTCCCGTGAAGTCTGACTGACTGGGTTTTGAGTTTTAAAATAGCCTCCATGTCTGTTCTTGGTGTTTCTCATTTTCTGCTTGCTCATTCCTCAACAAAATTTCTTTTCTTCCTTCTGAGCCAAGAAATACTGTATGTGGCAAAAGAAAGAGCACAGGTTGTGGGGACAGACTAGCCAGAGTGTGAATGCAGATTCAGCCCCTGTGTGCTCAGAAAGTTTCACTGTTCTCAGTGACAAATTCTTCCTCTAGAAAAAAAAGTTGGTAGTCCCTCCTGCCTTATGATGTTCTAGAACAGAGAACTTTATTAAGAATAATAAAACCACTCTGAGATTCCATCTTACACCTGTAAGAATGGCCAAGATCAAAAACACTGGTAACAATTTATGCTGGAGAAGATGTGGGTTAAAGGGAACACCCCTGCATTACTGGTGGTAGTGCAAATTGGTACAGCCCCTTTGAATATCAGTTTTGTGATTTCTCAAAAAAATTAGTAAACTACCTTCCTCAAGACCCAACAATACCACTTTTGGATATATACCCAAAGGATGCTCAATCATACCATAAGGACATGTGCTCAGTTATGTTTATAGCAGCATTATTTGTCATAGCCAGAACATGGAAACAGTCTAAATGCCCCTCAACTGAAGAATGGATAAGGAAAATGTGGTCCATTTACAAAATGGAATACTACACAGCAGAAAAAAATACTGACATCTTAAAATTTGCGGGCAAATGAATGGAGCTAGAAAACATCATTTTGAGTAAGATAACTCAGACCCAGAAAGGCAATTATCATAGGTACTCACTCATTAGTGGTTTTTAGACATAAAGCAAAGAAATCCAGCCTACAACTTACAATCCCAGAGGACCTAGACAACAATGAGGACCCTAAGAGAAACATACATGGATTTAATCTACATGGGAAGTAGAAAAAGACAAGATCTCCCGAGTAAATTGGGAGCGTGGGGACCATGGGAGAGGGTTGAAGGGGAGGGGAGAAGAAGGGAGAGGAGTGGAGCAAAATATATAGCTCAATAAAATCAATAAACAAATAGAAAATAAAAATATAAATAAGACTTGCTTCTGCAAAAAAATAACTAAAAAAAAAAAAATAAAACCTTCTATAAGCACAGTTTGCCTGAATGCCTGATGCATAGGAGCCCAGCAGGAAAGGTTAAAACTTTCCTCCCGTTCATCTTGATCTCTGATTCAATCCCTCACTATCAGGGTCCTTTCCTTTCAAGGACTACCCTGGGTGAGCTGGTTTCAATGAAGCAAGGTTGGGTCCTTAGAGCCCTGAAAGGTGTCCTCTGGGTTGTTAAAGAAGAGGAAGGGATAGAGTCAGAGGAGGGAAGACTCAGAAAGAGTGGAGTTTTTATGACAAGCACAGCCAGACACTATGTCCTCCATCCAAGTTCCCAAAAAGATTCACCTGACAGGAAGGAAGAGAACCACTTAAGTGCCCATGGAAGAGAACTGGGCTCCTGACCTGCTCCCTCTAATTTTGCTGGACCCACACTGCATATGCCCTGCCTGCTCTGAAGGTGCAGCAACTTTAAAATGAAGGTGAGTAGAGTCACTGCAGCTTGACAGTTTGGAGTATCATAGTTTCGCCATGGAATCTATTCTCAATCGCTGCCCCAGGACTCCTGCCCTTCCCAATTACCTGTGTCCATCACTTTCCTTTTTGCTGCTTACAGTACCTCTCCATTCTCTTAATGGTACCTCTTATAAACTTTCTCTGGTTATTTTCTATATGGATTCCCAACTGGGTCTGTCATTTGCCTTCCTATTTTTTATTCTCCTAAGGTTTTATTTATCTGAGTGCATTTCGGTCTCTCTGCTCTATTTCTCGTTTGAATTTTGAGCTCTGCCCCCTCATCCAAACTCCCTTTCTTTCCCCTACCTTGGAAGACAAACTGCTTTTGCGGCCCCTCCACCCATGCAATTTTACACAGTGCTTCAGGGTGAGACCAGTTGGAGAAGTGAAGGTCAAGACTGATTTTCTGTCCTAAGCTCACCCTCGTGAAACAAACAGAAACGTCTGCAGCCCTACCCCATTGAAATTGAATTTCCTTGTTTGTTCCATTTATTTTGCTTTGAAAGAAAACAAACAAGAGAAGAAAATGGAGAGAGTCCCCCAAAGGCCCAACAATGGGGTCAGCTTCTGATCCCCTGGCTCGTTGGCGTGCAGAGTAGTCTTGGGTGGGAGTGTCCACTCGGGCCTATGACTGAAGCCAGGAGAGGCATCTGCGGTCCCTGTCCTTACCTGGCTAGGGGCCTAGACAGTCTTCTTGCAACTGCTTTCCAATTTCCTATTACTCAAGGTAATTAGCCTCCGTCTTGTCTTGGCTGCCTTGCCTCCTCTACTAATGGCTGGCTGCCAAGGGGTCCTCAGGGAACATGCCAGGAGCAGCCAAGCTTGAATCCTAGGGTTGGGGGGGGCTCATTCCCACACATTCAGAGGCTTGCCTCAGGCCCACCTTCACCTCTCTGGCTTCTGTTCTATGAAAGGAATGCCAAAGGAGCCTGGGTACAGCATTCAAGTGCCAGCGTCCATGGTGGGAACAGAGTCTCAGGGGAAAGACTTTGTAGGGGTGGGTGGGGCTGGATGAGTAGAATAAAAACTAAGGCCCTGGAGGAAGAAGGG